TCATCTGGGCGGCATCGGTGTTGTATCTGGTGTGACAATAATGAGATATTTTGGAAATAAACTACATACTAACTTATTTATTTAAACTCCATATAAAGAATAAGGATATGTTGAACAATTGTCAAATTTTAAAAACAAAAATAAAAAAAAAAATATTTTACTGAATCCTCTTCCGTTCTTGTGTCAGCTTAAAGTGGAGTGTCCAGCAGTAGAATTAGCAACAGTTTTCTCATTAAGTAGTAGTCGCCGCGTGGCGAAGTGGTAAATTCTTATAACTTACATGGCGATAGACGTTTAAGGTATTAGAGGTGTAATACGCCATTTCCGGTAAAAATGACGGCATTTACCGAGGTGTCTGACATCGGCAGTTTTCGGAACACTGTACTTCGTGAACAAAAATGGCGTGTCGTCAAGACGGCCTAGGACGCTAACATAAAACATACACCAAAGAAAAGGAATATAACTTAGCGGAGGAGAGAATAAATATGATATTACGTAGAAAACACGTTAATATATTTTGTTAGACAAAATATGCAGTCAAAACGATGATACCTTCAAATACACACTTCATGGGTTTTTCCAACCTCTAAAAATAGCACCATTTTCGAAGAACGAACGAAGTATACCTTTCTTCAAAACTTTACATTCGCATCGCGATTTCTTGTGATTCTCTCAGTATCAACAAATCGTTTGAGGGGGAAAATGTACGTAATAGGTAGCATTGCGTGCATTGTAGAATCTGCAATTTATAAGTGACGTTCAAATGTCCATACGTAATATATCTGAGATGTTCAAAATATATCAGTAAAAAATAGAATGTAAATATGTTTACAACATTAAAGAAAAAAAAATTAATATTAGATATGAGAATAAATGATTTATACTGGGTTGGGTTAGGGTGATTTTTGTTATTTTATTTACATTCATTAATTTATTTTTTACATAAGTTTACCGTTTAGAAGGGGGGGGGGGTTGAATATTTTTTTATTGATATTTTTTATATACATGTTGGGAACAAATTAGTTTTTTTTACCTTTTGATTAGTGTTTCTGTCAGTATATATTTTAGTCTACATTGCATAGTAATGTTTAGATCTGTAAAGAACTTCATGCACATGGAACCTGCAAAAATGTAGGTCATTTTGCGAATCTTTGTCTGGGTCAAGGTCACTGTGACGAGGTCAATCTTCTGAACAAATGAATCTGACTAAAGTGAAGTGTATTCAAGATGACAATAACCTATTGTTTATATATATGCTCACCATTTCATTAATTATCACATATCCCATGACATTTACAAAAAAATAATGGCTTAAATTTTTAGGGGTACATCGCTATGATACAGAATATAGATAAATATTGTGGATGGAATAATTTTTTTTGGTTGTTATATTATCACAAACACACCTTACACAAAATTGATATTGTTCTTTTATTGATCTTTCCTACCATATTTTTCTTTGACAGAATATTACAAACGATTTTATGAAAAAAAAAATCGCCAAAATTGTCACTCAAAGTAGACAGGTTCTCTCGATTACAAGTATTCATATATCATACCTGATAAATTTGAACTAAAAAGAATGCATATAAGCAATCTGTACTGCTTAGTGTTGCAGCTGAATACATGAAACATTCAACTGTTTGCGACTAACTAGAGTAGAGGTAAAAATTACATCTGTACCTTTTGTCTATTAAAGGTGCACCAGTGGTTAGAGGGTACAGACATAAAAATAAGTATAGAAAAATTATGTTTGGACAGAATTGCATGAAACTTTGGGAAATATTGCCTGAAGTGTTGTCCATTATAAGTAAACTGAATTTAGTCATATTCAAGGTCATGACCATTACACCCCTAATACCTTAAGTACCGCTTGTGCACGTGAACCGCGCACACAGTGAGGAAATGACCACATTAGAACTGCGATAGTTGAGAAATACTGCGTTGATTTAGAGACAGCCCCCCCCCCCCTCCAACGAGAAAGAGTGAGAGATATGGGATCCAGTATGTAAATCTAAATGTGCTTTAATGGTAGACATCATCAGTTACGTTTTGGGTATACGTACTGCGTGTAGAAAAATATTTTGAATTTCCAATTTAAATTGTTTTCCATGGCTTTCATTACTTTAATTTGGAAGCAAATCTTTTCTTTCCTAGTAACACTAAAATGGATGCTTAAACTTAAAAATAGATTTAAATATTCATGCAGTATAACCCCCCCCCCCCCCCCCCAAGTCATGCATTGCTTGGAACCTGCACGATTAAAAACTTATATCTAAAATAATTAAAACAATCTAACCCAAGGTCTACCTTCCTTTCAAGCATCATAAGCTATATATTTTATAGAATTTAACAGTAAAAATGAAACTGTAAACATTCGTCAACCGTCAATGATTGGGAAGTAAGTGGCTTTGTTCATTTCTGAGACGTGCTTTCTCTGATATCTGCGCCCAAGAGAAATTAATTGAAGATCATCATAATGATCACGATGCAGTCTAACTAAAATTTATTCTATGCTTTATTATTTATTATGTAAAGCATTATGTTACAAATAAGAGAACGATTAGGCCAATTTAACATAGATTACAATGGCTTTTAAGATGATTTTATGATGAATAAAAAAAAATCATAATTATACCATCACAAAGCAGGAAAGAAACTTTTGTGTATTCAAGTGACGGACTCTCAGCTTTTTTTAAAAAGCTAACCTTGTTTATTTATAAGTATAGACATATTACGTTTGGAGGTGAAAACCAATTCCGTTTTAGAAAATAAAGTAATGATTTTTGTTGAATAATATTCTTTAGTCTATCATGTCTAAATATTTCACAGGTGTTCTGATAGCAAGATTTTAAGGCGAAATTTCGATGCTATAGGGAAATCGGTTAAATAACTGAGATAACTCTTGCATCGCAAAATTTCATAAAACGACCGTCTATTTTCTAAGAAAAATACTATTGAAAATATTTTTTACCGTATGATACTCAATATGTTCATGTCTATGTCTCATATGACCTTTACGACTCAGACCAAAATTATTGTGATCAAAGTACCGAAATAATTTATAATGTGTGAAGTAAAATTGTGTAGAATATTTTTTTCCCATGGAATATAGACTCAATATCTTCAGTTAACTGTTATCATGACATTTTAATTATTTATTCCTCACAGATATCATCTCAGGAGCAAGGACCATCAACGAAAGAAAAGCAACCCTTGAAGAGAAAAATGCAGCAAGGATGATTCGTCGCTGGAGAAAGAATCATCCTTTGTCCATTGCCAAATGCCACAACCCATTGACAGGGGCTCAGGAAAAACGTATTATGGTTGATGGTAAAATGGTTTTAAAGTTAAGTGAAATCAATTTCGCGACAAAACAGGCATTCGAGGAAAGTAAAGGCGCGGGTTCACGAAAAATTCGACATCGTTTAAAATCTGTATTCAGCGGCGTAACACATTGGAAGGTGCAAACGTCTCTTAAATCTCTTCCCGAAAAGCAGTCTGTCAATCCAATTTTCGATAATGATGCTCCTCTAAAACCCATTCGTGCGACTTCGATACAAGAGCGCCACCAAATCGACTTAGTTGACATGTCGCGACACACGGAATTTTATGACGGTAGAGAGTACAAGTATATTTTGTCGGTTTTAGACGTTTTCAGTCGTTACATATGGCTTCGCCCGCTCAACTCGAAAGAAAGCACGGAAATTGCAGACGCGTTGGAGTCCATATATCAAAGCGAAGGACCGCCGAAAATCATACAATGCGATAATGGTCGAGAATTTCATGGTGCGGTAACCCGATTGACCGAGGTATTAGGTTGTCAAATTATCAACAACAGACCTTATTATCCGCAAAGTCAAGGGAAAATTGAATCGTCGCATAAATCCTGGAAATCAAAACTTAAGTACGTCCTACTAAAAACAAGCGATTCGAACTGGGTTCGCGATTTATCCAAATACGCGATGTTGCGCAATGAGGAGTATCACTCTTCTTTAAAGGCGTCTCCATTTTACGTATATCACGGACGGGAATCTAATCGTGTGCGTAAGTCTACTCGTCTTGGGCCAACCGTTTCAAATCACGTTTCTAGAGAGTTGAAAAAGCAATCCGCTGTTCGCAAGGCAGCCTTGCTGGCATCGAAAAAACGCGAAAAAACCATGATAAAGCACCATTTCAAAAAACATCAAGTTAGTGTCTATAGTGTGGGCGACGAAGTGTTCGGAAAATCTCAAACTCGGAAAAACTACAATAAAGCTAGGCCCCGTTTTGAAAGAGGAAAAATAATCGACACAAAACACAACGCGTTCTCTTACAAAATCAGGTTTTCCAATGGGGTGTCGCGTTGGATAAATGTACAAAATATAGCTGCAATTTCACGTTCCGAAGAACTGTTAAAAAGACAAAAACGTCATCGATTAAGGCTTGATCCGTTGTGCGAATGTAACAATGATAAATGCTCTCGAAAATCGGATCCGAACTGTGTACACAAACTAAATAAATTTTGTTGCCGCGAAAGCAAAGTTCCTTGTTCACTGCCTTCCCACAATTTCCCGCATATATCGGATTTCTATCTTTCTGATAATTTAATAAACCAACTTAAAGGACCGAGCCTCTCGAGAACCGATACAGCCCATGACGATTTGGTTCGAAATGCGCTTGAACGAGATTTAATTCCTGTTGGGAACATTCCTAAAGACGGTAGCTGTCTCTTTCATTCAGTTGCACAATCGCTTTCTAATCATTTACAAATCGACCTTAATCAGCAAGATATTCGAAATGTCGTGGTAAACTGGCTCTCCGAAAACCCCGAAACACCAGCAGGCGACCGCTTTTCACACTTCGTACCTAATTTAGACTGGGATACCTATTTAGAGGGCATACTAGGTACCGAATGGGGCGACCACATCTGCATCACGGCCATCGCGAACGCATTTAATATTGCAGTAGGTATCGTGTCGAGCTTCCAGTCAGACTTAAATTACATTTTGCCTTTTGATCGACAAAATAAGGAACATCTTTTACACATTTATTTAGGTCATGAATTCGAGTTTCATTTTATTAGGTTAGAACCGATACCGGGCATGCAGGCGGATATTTGTATTAATGAAGTTAATTTTCATACTGTAAATACTATGTGTATTCCAAACAGGGATCTCAACTCAAACCAAAACAGCACATATAATAACTATGTTCACAGTACTGATTTTTCTTACCATTCGTTTCAGGAAGTTCAAATTGAGCCTCAGCTAACAGATTATTCTAGTGATTCGGTTCTCCACCTTCACCTATCCACTAACGAAAGTTCGTTATCCCCTCCGGTCAGCCATCTTGATAAAGAGCCTCTGGGTTCATTTCCCGACACTGTATCATTTCGGACTGAAAGTGAACACATCGAAGCCCCTGTTCCGCCAGCATTTGAGACACCGACATTACAGCGCTTTTCCCCAACAGCAATCTACGAGACAAACAATCTGAGCTCCACAGAGAAAGACAGGTTATCTCCCCCAAGTCTAAATTCATCATTTTATTTATCTCCACCTTCTCTAACTCCTATTACAGATATGATAAAGGATTCAAAGTCAGAGGAACAGCCACCATTATTATCACCTGTTCGCTTGAGGTCTAACGTGCGACCCCCTAAAAAGTTCACACCCAGTGATTATGTCAGGGCACGTAAGCAAATTTTTCCCGAAACAGAAAATGTAAACCGTAAGCAATTCACCGATTTACCTTACTTCATTCAGCGCAATATTTTGTCTCTTGTAATATACAAAAATTTCAACATGTTTTTGACTTTAATAAGGGTTTCAACACACTTCAAGCATTTGCTAGGCACCCTTCATAATTTGTGTCCTAAAATTTACTTAAATGAAAATGTCATGCTTTTATTGGAAGGTAAATCTGTGTTCCCAGAGGGCGTAAGGCACAACTGGTCTCTTCGTCAGTTGGGTCGAGTGTCAGGTGCGGGTAGTGGCGTAATGATGGAATTACGGAATGTATTGCGACCGATTTCTTCCCGATGGATTAATGGTTACATCGAGATACTGGCAACAGCAATCGCCGGATGGTACTATATTGTCGATTTTAAATTTAAAAAATAAAGGATAAAACGTGCAAATCTTCCCGCATAAACGCGTTCAATATCGTGCTTATTACCTAATAATTTATAAACACTGTCAGTATATGGTGGTATGGCCTTTTCCCTCTGATTAGGCTTCCAGTTGGAGCCACCATTCGCGCCAAATGCATAACGTAATGCTAAAATGTGGTACGGCCTGTCTCCTTACGAGCTGGTTTCCAGTTGGAGCCACATTTCGCGGAAATATAGGTAAACGTGTAACAGAAGAAAAATATTTATTTATTTATTTATTTATTGAACTATTGTATTTATTAAAAAAAAAAAAAAAAAAAAAGACTCTTAACAGGAGATGCCTCCACGTGGCAAGAGTTGGGCAACAGTTTTACTGGCAGAAATCTCCTGGAATATGTTTCCTAGTACAGGTAAGGTGAAAACAATTTTTAACAAACTTATTCAGAGAATTTATATCCTTAAAGAAAAAAGAAGAGCAATTACACCCCAAGAACAACTAGGCGATTGACATTGCTAGAAAACAAATGCAAAGAATAAATGACCACAAATACGTGACGTACATATTCCATTCGATATTGTTAAAAAAAATTGCGCATTACATGGTGTCTATTTAGCCTTTACTAAACAGTTCTAATAAATGTAATTAGAAAATCAAGTCCGCCGACAACCTGTATTTCCACATGCTCCTAGTGCGACGCGACTTCTAATTAATACAAACGGGGAGTAACTTTAAACTGTGAGTGTGATCGATGCCAACAAATTTCCAATTTTCTTCTGAAAAGAAAACAAAACTACTAGATTAAAAACAAGAAAAAAGAAAGAACCAGGGCGGGACACTTTGAAAGCCTCCACAAAATTAAATTGGCAGAAAGCTTCTGGAATACGCTTTCTAGTACTTGTAAAATTATTATTTTTTATTTGTTCGTTTGATCTCGGGATCAAGCACGTATTAGCAGTTCTTTTTTCTGTCCTAACTCATTGAAGTTTAAATTTCATACTTGTTTTCATCAACACACCCCTCCCTTTTCCCAACAAAATGTTATGAACATTTCAAATTTGTTTAATATTCAGGCACGTATTTTTAATGCATAGTGATTTCTGTAAATATTTCTTTAATCAAAAAAAACAAAACAAAAAAACAAAACAAAAAAAAAAAAACAAACAAAAACAAAACAAAACAAACAAACAAACAACAAACCCAGTTTCATGTAAACTATGCACGTTTTTTGGAGCACTGTCATTATCGATATCGGGCCTCACTATCTCATTAGCTTTTTATCAAGTCGACAGCGACCAATTATTCTCTCTCCATCCCCACCCCTTCATTCCAGACATCGATAACTTCTTTTAACAAATATTTATTCAATGCAATTCATAAGCTTTGAAAGTCAGCGAAATGATAATTCGCTGCAATGTTTCATAACACAGCATATATTTATATTGCGTGTCGATAAAAAGTCGGGGGGGGGGGGGGGTATCTATTAGATGTTAAACCAATTAAAATTTTTACATTATTTTTTATTTTTGGATCAATTTTTAATTCTCTACGTAGAGGAGTAAACATTACCGCTACAATGCCTCTTCCATTAGCCAGCGCCTTATACGTACAGAAAAATGTACACGTACATGCATAAGATACGTATTCCATGCTCACTTAAAAGTAAAAGGGTTTTTATTTGGTAAAGTTTTTCCACACTTTATTATTTTAAATCCTTAGCAATTTTCTAAAAGACACATTTCTGAGTGCTTTTTCCTTCACATCTCCAGACATTGGAATTTTTGAATGTCTTATAGTATTTCGATTTTCGATAACAAACCGAAATAAATTGATTTCAAATTTAATTGTTATTCAACTACACTGTGGGTAAATTATATAAATATAGGACTCAATTTCTGAGTCATCGATGGCAGATTCGTGTATGTAGCGCTAAAGAGAGTTAATCGTCTTATTGATAAGATGTAGGGGTAATGAGCGCCCGAAATTTAAATGGAGAGTAGAGGTAATGCGTAAATTTTTTTAACAGTGAAGCGGTAATTTTGTACTCACAGCATACTTATCGATGAGTATATTTAAGCATTACTAATTAATAACTAATTTCCCATTAATAAGAGTCCCGATAATTGATTTCAAAGCCCAAATGGTATAACTTTAAAAATTAAATTTTTAATCATACGTAATAGCTATTTTTAATTTGACAACTGCATTTTTAATCATAAGTTGAGAGAGTGAGGTGATAATTATTTAATTTCATAATTTGCCTCGAGTTTGTTATAACTATGAACATTGCAATTTTATTTTATAGCCACCATGAGAGTCGCCTTATTCGGTTCCTCCTACGTGAAGCGAGCTTCAAACTTTACAGACTTTGTTATGCCATTTGAAGTAGGGTGGTTTGGAGTTGGTGGCATGACAGCCTCTCAACCCTGTCCAAATCTCATCTCCAAGATGTTGAGGTACAGACCAGACATCATTGTCGTGTGTTTAGGGGGAAACGACATATCCAGTGGAGCCGAGCCGTCTACAGTCATTGGCTGTCTGACAAGCCTTTTCCACCAAATTAAAGTCTTGAGTCCCCTGCAACCTGAGATTTTCTTCACAGAGATTGTCTCTAGGGGAAAATTTCGAATTTCTATGCAGCGAGAGGAGTTTGACGCAAGACGGAGGACTGTCAACAATAAGATGAAGAAAATCCTTGGCAGAACCTACATCAGAATAGACGTCAAATTACCCAGACATTACCTTCCCGATGAAACACACTTCAACGAGGCGGGAATGGTCCTCTTCATGCTTTCAATAAGCAAAGCAGTCAAGAGTCGCTCCTATGATTAGGAAATAAACGGCCCTTTTAAGGGCCATTCAATTATTCGGAAAGATACCTCTGAATACAGACGTAGAAACATCGCAGTTGGCATACCTATCAATTTTACCGAAATTTTCAGAAAAATACACGTAATACCTTAAAAAAAATACACATTTTTATAGTATTACGTATTATTCATACTTCTCTGAAATTTCGGTACAATTGATAGGTACGCCAACTCCTGCTATAGACTTGTCATAACTTGCGCAAAACCCTGTAATTTGGTAAACAAGAAACATATTGACTCAAGCGTCAAAAATCGGCCGCAGACCAGTTGTTCCTTTTATGAGGCAACAAACTGAAATTGCTTGATCTGTCATTAATAAAATTTATCATATATATCCCGGTGACATAAAACTGCATGCGACATTGCAGGCGCGGATTTTATTTCAATAACTGATTTTTCTTCATGCATAATTATAAAAAGCCTCTCACGGAACATTTACTTTAGTAAAACACAACAAATATATTTGGGATCTCTCTCTCTCTCTCTCTCTCTCTCTAATATATCCAAAGGAGGATGTTGAAACCCCCACAACCCCATCGGATCCGCTACTGCATTTCTTCTCCTTGGCGGGAAAATGCTTGGCACATTGTAAAACGCGCTTTATCCTTGTCTGCTGAAGTAAAAATGTCGTTATATTCTGTCTTTTGAGAAATTAAAATTTTATCATATTTAAAAAAAAAAAACAGGAAATTTATATTTACACGTCATTTAAAAAAAAGATACAATAAATCCAACATTTGTAAATATTTCAAGCAACATACCATTGGATTCTCAAATATATAATTTAGCGAAATTTAATAACAAATATCCATTTTATCGTCCGAAAATAATATAGTTCAATGAAATCATTTATTTATTTTTTTTTTAATGCGTAATCATTTAGTGAAATCTTTTGTAGCCAAGTCAGATAAAATAAACCGTTGTAATTTTTTTTTCTTAGACAGACAAAAAATTTAACTTTCATACACCGGTATAGTATCTATATATTGTATTTTGAAAAAAAAAAAACTGACTTGAGCTCAATACAACTCCTATATATTTACATCCACTGAGTATTATTTCCTTCATTTCTTAAAAAAAACCAATGCCGTTCAGCGTCAGTAAAGTATAAAGATATAAATATAAACAATAAACGTTCTTATATATTTCTACAACAGCTGCAATATTAATTCATAAACTAGTACTAACAAACTAAGAAAGCATTTTATTGTTTAAAAATATTCAAAGCTTGTACATGCACCTGTGCAAACATAGAAATAATATATCCAATTTTTAGTATCAACACGAGATTGTGTATACAGTATAAGAAAAGTTGTTTTTTATTCGTTTATAAAATTGGCGGATATTTCTGAAGGCAGACATTATTACAAGTGTGGTTAAAGAAATATATATTTTATTGCGCGAAAAGACATATCATGAAAAAGGCTGGATATTAGGGGGACACACTGAAATGATAATAATAAAATATTTAACGTTATTTTCAATCTTGTAAGGGCGGACATAGTGTGACGATTTTTTCGGACGATATTTCCAATCCAAAATATTGACGGACATTTCTTAACGGCGGACATAATGTGACCAGTGACGAATTTACCGAGAAAAGGCGCGGACATTTCGTGGCGGCGAACATAATATGACAATTTTTTCGGAAGAAAGGCGGACATTTCATGACGGCGGACATAGTGTGACGATTTTTTCGGACAAAAGGCGGACATTTCGTGGCGGCGGACATAACGTGACGATTTTTCTGAAAAAGAGGCGGACATTTCGTGACGGCGGACATAATGTGACGGCGGACAAAACGTGACTCAACATCCAACATTACAGCCGTAGGAAGCGCCATCTTCTTTTTACATATTTAAGTGCAAATGTACTTAAATAATTCAAGCAAAATGGTAAAAATTACATTTGATTTATTTACGTAAAATTAAATTTGTATTTCATTTAAGGTATTTTTAAGTAACATATGACAATGTTCTTCTAAAACTGACATAATCATAATCAAAGAATAGACAACTCTTAAAAATTGGCACAATGGCAAGTTTTAAGAATTGACAAAATTACTACATATTGAATGGCCTAAATCTTCCAAAAACAAGCTAAAAATATTAAAATTTTTGATCTTATTGTCAAAATATACCTTTAAATATTATCTTTGCAAAATATTGGGATTTCATAATTTATTTAGATATAGAGATTTACAAATTGCCAATGTTAAAAAAAAAAAAAAAATAAAATTCCACTGGGTTACAAAGTCAAATATAGAACTTAAAATTATAAATACTTGTTGTTAGATAAGAAAAAAATATTAACATTTTCTTGATAACCATAATTCGAATTGAAAAAATATAATTAAATTGAAA